TGTATTCACTACTAACCTTCTTCTTGACTTCAATGTGCTTGATGTTGTCAGCTTGAAGGACACCCAGGTATTTGTAGTGATCTTCTTCATCTATGGAATGTTATTTCCATAGGGCATCTTGATTTCTTCAGTTTTCACTATTTTTCCCTTGCTGATGGTCAGGGTGGCACATTTGTCCAGTTGAAGTATCCTGGCTATATATTTGGACAGTCTTGAGCAGCAATTCTATTTCAGATGGTGTTTTTCCATACAGCTTCAGATCGTTCATGTAAAGGAGGGAGAATAGCTTAGCAGATGTTTTTGATGTTTGATAGCCATGGACTGATTTGTTCAGTATTGTTGACAGAAGAATCAATGCAATGACAACAGTAGTGATGATAGTGAGTCTCCTTGAAATATTCCTCCCTTGATGTTAACATCTTCCAGCCTATCACCATTGATCAGCAACTGTGTGTTTCATTGTGCCATTGATCTTTGCACAAAGCTTCTGGTATTTCTACTGACTCCTGTTATTTCTAGGCATTTGATTATCCAATCAGGTGGCAGGAAGTCTAATGCCTTCTTGTAATCAATCCAAGCTATATTCAAGTTGGTCTTCCTTCTCCTGCAGTTTTCCAAAATCATCTTGTCAGTTATGAGCTAATCTTTTGTTTCTCTGTTGTTTGGACGGTTTCCTTTCTGCTCAGAAAGAGCTTGTTTTCAACTAGATGCGGTTAGACTGCATCAGCTACTACACCAGTTAGCAATTTGAAAGTTGTTGGTAAACATGTAACTGGCCTGTAGTTGCCTGGTACTGCCCCTTTTGTTGGATCTTTCATTATCAGGTAGGTTTTGCCAGATGTTCCCCAATCTTCAATTTTACCTCCGTGCAGTATGTTGTTAAACTGCTTGGCAATGAGTGGGTGCAGACCAGTCAGATGTTTCAACCAAAAACCATGCAGTTCATCTTTGCCTAGTGTTGACCAATTCTTGATCTTCCTTGCCCTTTTCTCCACCATTTCTTCTTGTTCTTCAGCTTTTCTTTCATCTGTTCTAGCTTGCTTGCATCTGATCTTAGCATGCTGGTCTTATTTTCCAACCTGATCTTCCATTTTGGTGGTGCACTGTTTGGCTTTTTTCCCTTGTTTTTTGATGTTGCATCCAACGTATTAAGTTATAACTGCAGCCATACTGTACATTAGTTGGTTTGTTTCTTGCAATGAGCTGGTGGTTATATTTGATATTACAGTATTGGCATCTTTTAATACTTGTGCTGTTTCTTTGTAACACGTTTCAATGCAGGTAACCTTATTCTGTTTGTGTTGTTCTAGATGCTCAGTTCTTCTTTGTTTCAATTCCTCTTGTTTTTTTTAGTTAGAGGGCTTTGTTCTTTCTGAGGAGAAGGCAGAGGAGAGGGTGCCTGGTTTGGGAATGAAAGCAATTCAATAGCTATGCTTGCTTTCTCTACTGCCAACTCCCCCTGGTTTGCCTCTACAGTCTGAGCTACTTCTGGCAAGGCTTCAATTCTTTGCCCTGGGTAGACCTTTGCAGTTCTTCCAATTCTACTTTTGTGAATACTTTGTGTTATAAATTGACATTGATCTGCTAGCCTCTGTTCTGTTATTTCTGATTCTGATGTAACACTCTGCCTTGCCATGTCTTTTTTCTGTTCTTCATTTGGTGGTGGTGGTGGTGGTGGTAGTTGTATCCTGCCTTTATTTGGTACAGCTCAAAGCAGCATACCTAAAGCTCCCACTTCCTATTATGGAGTGCTCTGCAGTTAATTTAAAGCTTTTAATTGGGGATATGAATGCATGGTCCTTTTTTGTGCAGATGATGCTGTGTGCCTGGTTAAGAACCCAAATAATATGCTGCCAATATTAATATTATTGCTGTAAAATGCAATACTGTTGCTTACAAAGTTGTTTAAATTCACCAAAATCTTGATTCCTCACTGGTGAGCTCTGAAGCGGTGACTGGGAAAACAGCTTGCAACCGGACTTTATTTCAGTTTGTAGACTCTGCTGAAGTGGATGGGATGCTTTCTACCATGTGCTTCAGGACCTATGGATTACACCCATGCCTGGTTCCTTTGTATGTTGCAATGGGTATGAGTAGCTGGATCCAAGAAACAGCCAACACCTCCATGGGGGAGCAGACTGTGCCAGAAACCTTTAAGGAGGCCCTTTTTGAAGATCTGGCTATTTTAGGTAGCTACCACTTTGACTCCATCCTTCACTTTAGGGGGATAACTATTGAGAAAAAGGTGCAGCTCCAGCTAAAAAATGTTCTAGAGGAAGCAGACCCTTTCAGTCTAGATTCAGGCCCAGGCACTGAAACAACATTGGTTAGCATTGGTTATCTCTGCCAAAACCTAAATGGGAGTAAATGCACCCCTCTTTCTTGAACTCTTAGTGGCATTCAATAACACCAATCATGGTAAGCTTCTGGATCGCTTATGAAGGTTGGGGATTGGTGGTATTGTATTATAATGGTTCCTCTTCTTCCTAAATGGATGATTGCAGTTAGTTGGGGAAGAGAGTTTGGCTCAGTGAGTAGTGCCCTGTTGAGTCTTACAGGGGGCAAGTCTCTCTGCTATACATTTTAATACATACATGAGCATGTTTATCTCCTGGCTTGGGGTGAGGTATGAACAGTATGTTGATGGTATACAGTCATACACCCTGGGCTGGGCTGGAGATACAATGAGAGTCTTCGCCCAGTGCCTAGAGGTTATGGGGACCTGGATAAGACTAAACAAAGCTGAAATTGAATCCTAAAACAAACAAAAAAAAGGGGGGGGGTCAACTTCCGTTATACCTCTAGGTGGGATGGTACTCCCCCTGAAAGAGCAAGTCTGTGACTTAAGCGTTCTCTTGGATCCACCATTACTGCTGGCTAGGAAGACAGAGGCTCTGGTAAGAGGGCCTTTGCCAAGATTTGGCTGGTGTGCCAGTTGTGGCGCTACATGGAATGGGAGGACATGGCAACAGTAACTCCTGCTTTCATCAGCACCAGGGTAGTCTACTGCAATGTGCTATACATGGGACTATCTTTGAAGATTACTCATAAATTGCAATTGGTACAGAATACAATTATCTGCCTGACAGTTGCTACAACCATGTGAACTACATAGATTTCCAGATATAATTCAAAGTGCTGTTTTTTTTACCTTTAAAGCTCTACATGGCTTGGTTACTAGCTACCTCCAGGACCACCTTCTCCAGGTCAGCTAGAACTGCCCCATCCAGCATTCTCATCTCAGTTGGGGATTCCCTACTTTCATGTGAGTGTGTGGACCCAGGGGTGATGTTTGGTGGCAGCTCCCACTTTATGGAATACTCTCCTCCCAGAGTTTGGGAGCATCCATCTACAAAGCTGTTAAAGTGGAGTTTTTCCACGGGCTTTTGAATGTTAATGTTGCCCATGTTTGAGGGGAGCACCTGTGGTTACTGTATTGTATTGCTTACATTTTTATTATTTTCTTGATTGGCTTTAAGCGCTCCTATAGTATCCTAGTACAATAGTACCTTTGCCACTTCTTGTAACAGCTTTTCTTGGTACTGTTTTTCCAGCAATTCAGTCACACCAGCTTCATCAGAAAACTGGAAAAAAAAGTGCTCATTCTTAGTAACATTAATTCTGAACATATTTATGTTACAAATGATTATATTTTAAATACTAACTATATAGAAGTAGAACAGAAAAGAAGACAGTGCAGCCCTTAAAGAATTAACAATGGAAACTGTATTAATACTGCATTATTACTAAGTGCTTTCTTCAGATAACAGAATCTCAGTGCTCTTATACTTACTGTAGCACAATGCTTTGTAGGCAGAACTCTAATTCATCTTGTATCACATAAAGCAGAGAAAAAGGCAGGTTTTAAGATACTGAAGGAATATGTATTTGGTGTAATTACCTTTCTAAAAGCTATGCTAAATGCTTTGTTTCACAAGCAAAAGTATAGCAACTAGAGCCTCATGGCTAAGGATGAAATGGCTTCAGCATCATACAAAGAAAATATATCCTCATCAACTTCAATAACGTTAATGGTGCTTTCTAACATTTCCAATCCATTTCATTCTGAATGTTTCAAAAACAATCTAAAATATGCACAGGATTTGTTTGCACTAAGATTACTGCTGAAGTAAAATACCAATATATTTTGGAATATTATTTCTTTTCAGGGTTTCAAACTTAATATACATTATGCAAATAAGCAAACATAGTACCTCTACTATCTTCCCAGCACTTTTCTGAATATCACTTTCAGCATGCTTTTCTTTCTGCGTAACTTCATTTACATGTGACTCCACAGAAGCACTAATAAAAAAATAATAATAATAAAAGAGGAGATATTGGATGGTTTTTCTTAGGTATCAATGCAATTTCATTTGAAGTTTCTTAGAACTGGGGATGGGCCCTGACAGTTTCTAAAGATTAAGGTGTACTTGGGTGGGACTTCACAAGGAAGCTTATACTTTCCTAATTTGCAACTATGTCTCCAAAAGCATTTTCTTTTATCACCAGGCAAATCACTATGAAATTTTCCTCAACCCCCTTCTTCCCCTTTTAAAAAAAGCATAACATAAGCAGCCTTATTCTTGCTTTTCGGCATGACCAACACTAGATGGAACAAAGACTTTCTGTTCCTTCAGTGGTTGCTCACACTATTGTTGGGGCATTTAAGAACTGCAGCAAGCATATACGCTAAGAGGAAGAGTAGGATGCTGTTGTTCAGTCCTGTCCCTGACACTCAAGTCACTCCACCTCCTCTGGAAACCAGGTTACAGTATACATTTTCCCTAGAACTGGAGCTCCCCCTGAAGGAGAGTACTGCTCACATATTCCTCCAGTTCTCTTTCTCTTTGCTCCTTTCTTCAAATCTTGAACAGCAAAGAGAGATGGGGACAACAGGGCTTCAATTTCTTGCTGCTTTGATAGCATGCATGTTTTTAAGGCAACAGTTACACCTGCCTATTTACTTCATAATCTCCTATCTTACATGGAGCAATAACTATAGGCATCTATAACACTAGTATAAGTAATGCACCTCTGAGTCTGAAATACGGGACAAAAAAACAAAATTGAAAAGAATTCAGATATGTGAAATCTGTACTTATAACTGAAGTAAGGTTTACCAAATCACATATTTGAAAACTGACACATAACACTAAGGACTTTAAAGACATATCTTGTGGAACGCACCATAAAGTTTTGGTTCAAAAACAATATTAAGTTATAATTAGTAGATATAAACATCACACTAAATCAAATACAAATAAACCATATTATGGTTTAGCATGGTATAAACCAACCATTGAATTGAATAAATTACATTCCATAGTGCTATTACATTGTCTTTATGTTGGAAGTTACAGAATGTTAAATCCCCCCCAACAAATTTTATTCAAAGGCAGCTCATGAACGATTATGCTTTTAATAAAATGTGTTAATTGGAAAAGATGCTATGAGATTCCTGATCTTTTGGAACCATAGGCTAGCACGGCTCCCCTACTACAATATTAAATCAACCCAAGCAGCGATGACAAGTTTCTGGTTCTAAGGAACTTTATTGTTCACTGTATTGACATGAATGAACTGGAAAATCTTAATATAGTTATGCTCTATGCATTCTGCAATTTGCTCAGTTCCTGAAATTGTGAATAAATATAAACATTTCCTTTTCATCTTACGAAAATGAACCTGTTAGCTGTTCAGCAACTGAATATAAGATGCTGGTTTTAGAAATATCTCTAACTAAACAGGTAAGATATACCTACAAAAGACAAATAAGCTACAATAAGCAAATACAGATAGTCCTCATTTAACGATCGCAATTGGGACCGGCAACTCCGTCGCTGAGTGATACAGTCATTAAGTGAAATATCACCTGACCACACCCAACTTATATCATGTAAGTTGTGTGGTCGTTAAGCATGTGGTCGTTAAGCAAATCACCCACGGTTAAGTATATCACATGACCACGATGTGCGACTTACTGCTGGCTTTCCCATTGACTCTGCTTGTTGGAAGCCAGCTGTGAAGGTCACAAATGGCAATCACATGATCATGGGATGCTGCAACCATCCTGAATTTGAGAACCAGTCATAAACTGTAATGGATGGCATGAGTGGGGAAGATTCTGGAATGGAGGTTCAAGGTTGTCAGGAGGGAGGGGAGATATTCCAGAGCAAGCGCCTCCTCAGCCCACAACAAGAATGTGGGAAGACGAAGAGGATGAGGCTAGCCCCTCCCTAGAGTCTCATGGGGTATATCCACTAGTTGCTTTAGTATAGGTTTAGTCTGGTGAGACTCTGTCTATTAGGTGCAAGGTAATAAAGAAGCTATTCTGGACTGTCTCTTCGCTGTTCTTGGGCTGAGCCTGACATAAACCTACTTTTTCAGCACCATCGTAAGTTCAAATGGTCGCTAAACAGGGCTGTCATTAACCGAGGAATACCTGTATTTTAGATTGTCATCAACTTTGTATCTCAGGTTATGGGAACAATGAAACAATACAGAAGAGTTTTTTCAGATGGGAAAAAGACTATCAGAAAAAAGTTTTTTTCAGAAAGAAAAAGCTCACTAAAATGAAATATAATCTGTAGATAAATACCCTATTTAGGTGTTGATTTACACTTAAATGAATAAATCAGTCATATAGTAGACATCATTAGTTCAGAAATACCAATAAAATATACCAACCCACACTTTTTCTTGATTCTTTATTATTTAAATCAATAATAATTTGCTTGCCAAATTTCAGGATAAAGTATGTAAGTAATCTTGTCCTCTTTGGAATTCAGATACATACTACACATCCTTTTCTTCTTACTATGATTCCAATGAAGAGGTGAAGTACTAGACTTTTCTTTCTCTACTCTCCCCTTTTTAAAGATACTTTACAAATTGGTACATTGTTCCAGCCAGTTTATTTTCAGCCAGTTCTTACATATTTATTCATTCAAATATCTATACACCAATGCTCCTGCCAAGTATCATACAAAATAATTATGACAAGTTGCAGGAGTCTTTACAGCACCTCTTGGAAATGCTGAATATTAAATCCAGGATCTTCTGATTGCAAAGTCTATACTCCACAACTGAGCTAGACCATTCAGGACACATGGTGTCAAGTATAGAAGATACAACTGTAGCTTCTTTTCCCTCTTTTAAATGCAACTTGTCTGGAATTGGGAATATCCTAGAGGAGGAAGGATAAGCTCTCAATTTCTACCACTGGCACAGACTGGTAGCATCAAAATTAATTCTGATTACAGCAGAAAAACTATTTAAGCCAACTCAACTCATGAAATAAAGATAAGGACAAAAATCATAGATACCTGAAACTTTCAGAAGACTTGCTGGCAATTTGGAGTCTATTCTGTAAGCGAACTATCTCTGCAAAATATTTTTCCTCAGTTTCTTTTAACTGCTGATGGAAATATGATCGAAGATGCTCAATTTCTTGGGCATGTTGTTCTTCAAGCTGAAATTTCAAGTTCTCTACTTCTTCCTGACAAACTGACTTAACTTTAATACCTATATATGAATAAATAATAACAACCAATTTATTTTACAACAGAAACATAAGCAACAATCACATCAGAATAACATAATATTTTAAGAAGTGAAACATATATATTTTATTTTAGAATACTTACCTTTTCCTTTCCTTATGCTAAACAAAACAAAAGCTATTTTGCTATTAGTAGTAGCACTAGTGATAGCTCAAGTGCAGCAAAATGCTTGAGAACACCAGCGTGCTCCTGAGATGCACACTATTTTCCAGAATCATAACAGTAACTATAAGTGGAACATTAATTTTAAGTCAGCAGTGACAACACTGGTTCAAATGTTAGCTGCAAACAGAGGTATCTTCACAGCAGGGTGGTTTCAGGTTTTCTTCAGTTAAGAACTTCATTTTCTTCTGGCTTTACTCTTCAACCAATAAGCATACAGCAAGTTTATTCACCTCTGAATTTCCTCACTGCTTCCACCTGCCCAGGCTATTGATAGACTAAAAATATACTAAAATAAATTTCAAAACAGAAAAAACTTACCATCACCATTTAAATTCCTTGATATACAAAGATTCAAGAGCATTCTATTAATGTGATAGGTTTGTTTGTTGTGTTCAATCCAGCTTTGAACAGGAAAGGAGGACTTGCTTCATAATTGAGTCTTAAGCACTGTGCAGATATGGTTTCTATAATTCTCTTAACTCAGTCTGCCAAAGAAGGCTCATATGTGTGTCAGATACAAGGTAAGAGGGCTTAGTGACAAAACTGAACATTCATAGGCAGTCTCAACTTTCCATGCCTCCAGAGTTCAAAAATTTCTCAGTGCTATGAACACAGACAACGGTCATTTTGCTCTGCTGAGAAGCACAAGACATCTAGATCTAAACTAAAATCTTCAAACTACAGTGGTACCTCGGGTTACAAACGCCTCTGCTTACGAACTTTTTGGGTTACGACCGGCTCTGGCTGCAAAAATTTATCTCGGTTTGTGAACTCCGCCTCGGGGTACGAACCGGATCCGCAGCCATTTTCCGCCGTGACATGTGGTCTGCGGCCATTTTCTGCCCATGCCACGTGGTCCGCGGCCGTTTTTCCGCCCGTGCCACGCGGTCCACAGCCATTTTTCCACCCTGCCGCGCAGTCTGCAGCCGTTTTTCCACCCTGCCGCGTGGTCCGCGCCCATTTTTCCACCCTTGACGCGTGGTCTGCGGATGCCGGAACGGATTAACGGTAATTACACTGAACCTTATGGGAAAATTTGCTTCGGGTTGCGGACAAATTGGGATGCGACCCGAGTC